AGATAGGCCTAAATAAAATGTTTTTAATTGTGTACCAGTTTAACGTTGAATATTATTTATGATTTTCATTCAACAGATATTTTATCTGCATAATAATGAACTAAATTAAATGATTTTGTTTGTCTCTTACAAATTATACAGTTGATTCACAAAATTTATCTGTAACAGACTTTTTAAAAACCAACCTTGTTTCTTGTATTCATTATTAAACTAAAAGATTTCAAATTACTCTCTATACCTGTGTTGCTCTGTCCATCATATGCCGGACATAGTAACTGTGATAATAGCAGTCACGTGGCCACTGTCCAGCTAGGTAGATAGTGTCTAGTGAGGCAGTCCGCCGGATGTAGGGAGAAGCACTGATGGATTTGATGTTCAGAGTATTGGATTTTTCTGTTGAATAAAACCAGTAAAACACACAACTTTAAAATCTGTTTACTGTTATCCCTTTAAAAAAGGCTTTTTTCACATCAATGTTCAGTTCTTTTTTCAATGTGTATATCCGATTATAACCTCAAATAAAGAACAAAAATACAAAATAAATTCTGGATTTTTTTGCATTTGATTCTAATCAGAACAACGAATAGAAATTTCATGACACAGAATGTCCAAATAATTTAAATAAACTAATGTGAGGCAAGTATCAATTTCATACCTCTTCAATTTATTTAATTCAGACATAATGAAGAAAAATCAAAAGTTAACCCTAAAATCACTGATGAAATTTCCATATTTTCCCAAATTATTTATGCACCAAATTTCTTCTGTGGTATATGGTCACTAATACATGCACACACCCACAAAATTAAAATTTTACTGATATTGCAGTTAATCTCACTAGCTACTGCTGGGGTCACCTGTGTATTTTACATTGAAAATAAATTATTTCACCTAATTTTCTGGTAATTTCTATTACAATTAGTGTTGTAACAGGTAAAAAAAATGAAACTACTTACTATAGTGCAATATTAGCATTACCAGCTTTCAAAAGCGAAGAACTGGGACTTTGTTGTTTTTTTACATGTGGAATGACACTAACAGTTCTCAAATAGTTTTTAACTTACAATAACACACTTCACCATTGAAAGACCTTTGATTTAGACATAGAACCCTTCTCAGGTAAATTTGTTAAAAGACACATCACATTTTAGTGGTTTCTTACCCTAACAAATCGGTACATATTCCGACTAACTTTTTTAATCAATAGATCTTTAAACATATATAGACTCTTTGCATTCTCTGATACATTAACCAACAGACATGCAGACACATCATAGTCAAGAAAGAAGGTCTAAGATGTCAGTGCACATTCTGAATCATCTTAATTCACTTCTAGACACTAGTCAAGTGAATCTTAAAACACTTTAACAGCCTTTTTCACAATTTCATAATTCATTCTAATACCATTATTTGTAACATTTTATTCATCATCAGAAACATTAATTAATAAACTCCTGAAATAACAGTTTTACTTTTATTAGATCCATAATCGTAAATATAAGTATTATTTTGAATTATTATATGTAAATAGTATCTTGCAAGATACAGAGTAAGAAATTTACTTGATTAAATAAGTCCATAATCAGTTTTATCAAGTTAACTGAATACTTTTGATATCAAACTATTATCTCAAATCTGAATGCATACTTTGTGTTATTAAAGGGCTGAGAATATGGATATAGCTGACCATAATCATTCTCCGTTCATATACTCAGCTGGAACCAAATGATATTACATACAAAGCAACTACTAAGCAGATTAGACAATTAACTGTCATTACATGCAGTTGGAAGAAATTTAAAGGATTATATAGGTATTTATGTGAATATACCTTATTTGTAAATCAGTGTAAAACAGTTTTCATCGACATATTAGATTGTTATTTATATCTATCTTTAAACACCATTATCATTATAATTATTTTCATTACAGATCTGTTCTGTCTTGGTCAGTATTTGGTCGTGTTGTGCTTGACCTGGGAGGGTCAGGTACTATTTAGACCTGTTCCTCCTTCAGT